GAGGGTGGTGCTGATCATGCTGATGATGATATGGCGATGGTGATGGTGATGGTGATGATTATGGTGATTGCGACGGCGATGGCGGTGGTGAGGGGAGGATGAGGCTCGCCCGGCCTTTGCCATGTCTGCACGCTCGGGGTGCGAGCGGAGCGAACCATGTCTGGTGCCGCCGCCCTCTCTCGTCACAGCAAGGGTTGCTGCCGCGTTCCGTGCGGGTGTGTATGCTCCGCGCTTCGTGCCGCCATCGAAGGGCGGAGGTCGTTTTGGACCTCGGTTGTTCGCTCGGTCGTTGTCCCCCTGCCGTGTCTTCCCTGGCCGTCTCTCGATCGTTTTTGTGTGCGACCCTCCTTGGGTTTCCGCTGCAGCAGCGTACGGGAGCTATCGCTTGACCCAAACCCGCGTCCAAGCAAAAGGGGGTCGACCGCAGGCGTGGCCTGAGCATCACCAGATCGCACTGCGTCAGCGGCCGCACAAGAGGCAGTGCGACCATGGAGGGCATTACCAGTGGCGGGGCGCGCCTTGCTTGCAGAGGGCCACCCCCGGCAGCCTGGGACCCTTTTTCCCACATGAGGATGCGATGTCCTACCTGGGCCAGTGATCGGGGACAGTATTGTAAAGATTAGTTCTGGCTGCGTCGAGGGGGAATCTGACGATGAAGATGGGGAGCGGGGCGGCGCTCGCTGGCGCGGCCCAGGGCTCAGCGCGATGCAGCACGCGCACGTCAGCACCAACCGCGGAGCCGAGGTGAGGCAGGGGGAGGCGGGAGGCAGGAGGAGGGAGAGGAGGAGCAGGAGGAGGAGGAGGAGGAAGAGGAGGAAGAGGAGGAAGAGGAGGAGGAGGAGGAAGAGGAAGATGAGGAAACGGAGGAGGAGGATGACGAGGAGGAGGAGGAGGAGGAAGGAGGAGGAGAGAGGAGGAGGAGAGGAGGAGGAATGACGAGGAGGAAGGGGAGGAGGAGGAGGAGGAGAACGAGAAGGAGGAGGAGGAGGAAAATGTGGAGGAGGAGTGGGAGGAGGAGGAGGAGGAGAAGGAGAGGAGGAGGAGGAGGAGGTGAGGAGGTGGAGGAGGAGAAGAGGAAGGAGAGGAGGAGGAGGGGGAGAAGGACAAGGAAAAAGGAGGAGGAGGAGGATAATGATGAGGAGAAAGGGAGCAGGACGGGGAGGCAGATGCGGAGGAGGGGAGGATGACGAGGAGGAGGAGGAGGAGGCGGAGGAAGAGGGGGAGGGGGAGTGGGAGGGGGGATGTAAGGGAGGAGGAGGACAACCCAGGCGCGTTCGCGCCATATCTGACATCTTGCGATTTCCACCCATCCAGTCCCACTGTGCGGTTTTTCTGTATCCGCCGATGCGTCCCACGGCGGACTTTGAACTGCAAAGGGGACCCCATCATGTTTTTTCACAGTCGGAAGCAGGGAGCTACGTAGATTGGACGAGGAGGTGGCAGATGAAGAGCAGGATGACTGGGAGAAAACGGAGGATGATGAGGAAGGAGGAGGACGAGGACGAACAGCAGTGGGAGGAGGATGAGGAGGTTGATGATGAGGCGGATGAGGTGGAACGATAATAATAACAATAGTAGTAGAAGTCGTACTAACCGTATTTTTTCAATAACCATAACAATACGATGGTTTTCGGTAACGATGGTAGTAGTACTATTGCTAATATTATTAGTACTAGTGCCACAGCTGTTAATATGAGAAAGAGCGTGTTCTACCGCTGCTGGCTGAAAACCGGGGGGGGTCACTACCGGTTCGAACCCCTCCCCCCCCCCCCCCCCCCTCCCGGAAAACGGCGGGGGGTCACTACCGGTTCGAACCCCTCCCCCCCCCCCCAGCTCATCATGAAAAGGGGGGGGGGTCACTACCGGTTCGAACCCCCCCCCCCCCTCGAAAACCGAGTGGGGGTGCGGACAGTGGTGGGGACGGTGTTGGTGGGGACAGTGGTGAGGGGACAGCGGGACAGTGGTGGGGACAGCGGGGGGACAGTGGGACAGCGGTGGGGACTGTAGTGGTGGGGACAGTGGTGGGGACAATGGTGGGAACAGGGGGGACAGTGGACAGTGGTGGGAACGGTGGTGGTGGGGACAGTGGTGTGGGGACAGTGGGAAGAGGTGGAAACACTGGGACAGTGGAGGGTACAATGGTGGTGGGGACACTGGTAAAGGCGTCGGCGAGGACGGCGGTGGGACAATGGGACAGAGGTACAGTGGGAACAGTGGTGGGGACAGTGGGGACAGTGGGGACAGTGGTGGGAACAGTGGGACAGCTCAGTGGGACAGCGGAGGAGTCAGTGGGACAATGGGGACAGTGGGGATAGGCAGTGGTTGGGTCCGTGGAGACAGTGGGGAGAGTGGAACCGTGGTGGGAACAGTTGTGGGAACAGTGGGGACAGTGCGACAGTGGTGGGGGCACTGGTGGGGACAATAGGGACGGTGATGGAACCAGCGGGGGCGGTGGTGGTGAGGACAGTGGTGCTGGGAACAACAGTGGGGGATGTCATGC